AAAAAAAAAATACGCGTTAATACGAATGGCGCTATGTGAATCGCATTGCGATAGTAAGATTCGCATTGCGATTTACGTATTCGCATTGCGATTTTCCTAATTCGCATTGCGAATTATGAAAATCGCAACCCGAATACGTAAATCGCAATGCGAATTAGGAAAATTGCATTGCGATAGTCAGTATCGCATTGCGATTTTCCAAATTCGCATTGCAATTTACTTATTCGCATTGCGAATTGGGAAAATCGCAACGCGAAATTGGAAAATCGCATTGCGATAGTCATAATCTCGTTGCGAATCTGGAAACTGATTTGCGATAATGGAGATCGCGTTGCGAATTAGCGATCGCATTGCGATTTTGTTGGTCATTTTGGCAAATCCGGAAAAAGTTGGTTAAAATCGTATATTATATATGATTTTTGGTCACTAAAGTTATTTTCTCTTTTTTAAAATGTTAGTTTATCCTACGAGCTACTTTTTTCTAAAATGTTTTTATTTTAATATTATTATTTTTTAAATGTTATTTCTCAAACCATACTAATTTTGGTTTCCCTTTTTTATAGTATTTTTAATTACAAATTTTCATTTGGAGGAAAATCAAGTTTTCATATTCTTTTAAAATTTTAATTAATGCGAAAAATGAAATAATAAAACCAACAATCTCATATAATGTTTAAATAATTTTAAGTTCATGTCTATAAATTTATATTATTTTATTCAAATTATTTATAATTTCTTATATTAAAAATATTATAAATAAAAATAATTTATAAATTTTGCGTTATTTATATACCCATTACATGATATTTTCTCTTAAGAAATTGAAGGCTAAGAAAAGACTGAATATTATAAAAATATATATATAAGGATTTGTTTGGTTCTAAAAAATATTTTTTATTTCTATTTTCGTTTTTTGTTTTTATTTTCAGAAAATAATTTTCATTTCAATTTTTTGAAAATTAAAAAACATGTTTGATTAATATAAATGAAAATTTGAATTCAAAACTAAAATAGTACAAATGTATGTGGTATCTAATTTTTTAAAATTAAAATAAATAAATAGTTATTCAATAATTAAATTAAACTATAATTATTAAAAATTTCATTACATAAATGTAACTTGTGAGTTATGTAAATATGAAACAATAAAATTGATAAGCAATTTCATTACACAAAATTTATTTTAGTTTATAATAAGAATATAGTGTTAATGCATATTGGACATCAATTAAATTTTAAAAATACAAAAAAAAATATCGTTATAAGCAATAGCACACAAAAGTGTCATTAACATAAAAAAATATGTTTAGTGGTAATTGAGACCCTCAAACTTTTGAGGAAAAAATAATTAGTGTAGTCCTTGGATTTTTTCTGTACCAAATATGATCATTAAACTTAGATTAAAAAAAATAAGTTAACCCTTTAAATAACGAAATCCAACACTGACTGTCACGACGCTTATATGACAGTTCACAAACTTATATGAAAATTTATAATATTGATTTGATATGGCAGTATTCGATGATAATGTGGTAGCTGAACTTAATTGATTATTTTAGAAACTCTAAGGATTTATTTATTTTTTTAAAAAATAAAAAATTATTTAGATTAAAAATATAAACAATTATTAATATATTTAATATGTTGAGTTAATCGATCGACGAATATAGCCAAGAGGGGGTGAATTGGCAATTAAAATTTCGGTGGAAGCTTTTGCAGAAAATTGAAAATATATGCACAGCGATTTAGAGTGGTTCGACTTTCTCAACCAAAGTCTATGTCCACCACCTTAGCTATCCACACTAAGGATTTTCCACAAATTCACTAATTTGTCTTTCTTTTGAGGACAAAGAGTAACCTTACAAATCCCTCAAGAATTATACCCCAAATTCTTGAGAACACTCTCTCCCAAAGAGAACAATATAAATTTTGCAAACTTACAAGATAATCCTCACAAGGAAAGATGTTTGCAATGTTCTAAAACAAAGAAAGAACACTCAAGAATAATACAATTCAGTACAATAAGTGTTCTTGAAAGCAAATATGAATATTGAATGAAATTTGGCTTGAAAATTTTCAAACTTGAGGTTTTATGCTTTCTCTTTGATTTTCTCTTGATTCTTGATTCTTGTTTTTGATCAATGGCTCCAAAGCTTGTTTAAATACTCCTTCAATTGATTCTGAACGTTGGGGATGATTAGTGGAGTCAATATAGCCTTTTAAGTGTGGAAACAATTAATAAAATAAGTTGGGAGCGTGTGTGCATCGATACATAGTCAAGGTGCATTGATACATCAAGTGTAAAATTCAAATATTTCGACCGTTGGCTGTCCAAGTGCATCGGTGCACTAGGGTGTGCATCGGTGCACTAGGGTGTGCATCGGTGCATAAATCAACTTCGATGTTTCAAAATAACCAGGGTGCATCGATGCATGTCTTGTGCATCGGTGCATAAAATCAATTCGATGTTTTAAAATAGCTAGAGTGCATCGATGCATGGTTTGTGCATTGATGCATAAATTGCATTCGAAATGGGTATGCATCGATGCATTAAATGAGTGCATCGGTACATCCCTTCATAAAATTGATTTTTGGCTCATTTTTTGTTCGAAACACTTTGTGAAAATTGTTTCAAAAATAGTTTAAGTATAAAACACAATTTTACACTTTAGTAAGGATTAAAATTGAACTTTGAAAGACTTGGAGTAGTATTTTTATATTCAATTAATTAAATAGAATATACTTAGAAAATCATTTGGAAAATCTTAAAAATCCATTTACACTTAATTTATTATATCGAAACATCAAAATGTTTTCAACACAATACATTAAAAAATATCATTAAATTATTAAAAAATTAATTTAAGGACTATATTGAGTGTAAAAATTATTTAGAGATCATATTGATTTTTTACGAAAGTTTGAGGTTTTAAAATATCATTAAATCAATAAATTATTGTTATAATGATTTAAAATTGTATAATTTAAATTAAAAATTTTGATATCATATTTTCTTATTTTTCAAATATTAAAAATATTTTTTTTATATTTTTATATTTTCACTTATGTTTTTTTAAAAAATATTTTTTAATTTTATAACTAAATACATTTTCTATTTCTATTTTTTTTAAAATAAAAATAATTATTAAACTCAATTGGCCTTTCACTTTGAGAATCGAGCTTTCATTAAAAGTAAGAAATTATTGTACAATACAACGCCAGTGGCTGATAAAAAGAAAAAACAAACGGTTTGGTTTTTCGAAATTATCACATGCGACTACTTTAATATACTATTAAAAAAATGTGTTATTAGTTTTGTTATTATTCAAATAATAAAATTAGTAAAATATTATCATAAACATTATTATTTCTATCGATTTTATTATTATTGGACGATTTAAAAAACGCTACTAGTTTTTTTTATTTTTTCTACTGATTTTATTATTGTTGGATACTTTACCAAAAATATTAAAAAAATATTGATGTTTTAGATATAAATAATAATATTTTAGGTAATTTTTTACTAATTTTTTTATTTGAATAATAATAAATCCGATAACACTTTTTTTTAGTTGTATATTTAGAGTGTCGAACTATCTTATTTGTCTTCATTGGGGCTTTTATTTAAGAGAAAATAACTTTAGTGACCGAAAATACCTTATAATATACGATTTTAACCAATTTTTTTTGGATTTGCGAAAATGACCAACAAATTCGCAACGCGAATAGATAAATCGTAACACGATTTTGGAACCTGTGTTGCGAAATTGGAGTTCACGTTGCGAATTTGTTGGTCATTTTCGCAAATCCAAAAAAAGTTGGTTAAAATCGTATATTATAAGGTATTTTCGGTCACTGAAATTATTTTCTCTGCAATGCGATTTTCAAATTCGCAACACTAATTACCGATATAGGTAAACAGTACTATCGCAATGTGATTTTCAAATTCGCAACGCTAATTACCGATATAGGTAAACAGTACTATCGCAATGTAAACAGTACTATCACAATGCGATTTTTAAATTCGCAACGCGATTTTCATATCTGCGTTGCGATTTACATATTATCATTGCGATTTACATATTCGCGTTGCGATTTTGGAACCTATATTGCGAAATTTGAGTTCACGTTGTAAATTTGTTGGTCATTTTCGCAAATCAAAAAAAATTTAGTTAAAATCGTATATTATAAGACATTTTCGGTCACTGAAATTATTTTCTCTTTAAAACTTCTAGTGCAAGCCTCATTAAAAATATTAGATAATTTGTTTTAATATTAAATTTTCAATTAATAACGTTGTCAACTTTTTAATAAGGATTTTTTTATTAATTTAAGAGGTTTACAAGTCATAGTATTTATTTAAAAAAGTTAATTATTTAGTAATAAAAGTTTAAATATCTTGTGCACTCATCGATGCAATGCTCGAATCTAAGTCTTCTAATTATAATAATATTTTTAACTGGTGAAATAATTTGATCTATACAATTTTTAATAAGGATTTTAATATTAAAAAATTTAAATAATAATAAATTATTTTAAAATTAAAACACATGTTCCACCAATAAATGTTAAATAATGCATCGACGAAACTTACTATTAGATTTAAATTTTAAAAATAATATTTCTCAATAATATGTCACGATTATATAATATTTATTTATAATTTTTTTTATTATTGATAGAATACACATATTATACACATAATTATTCAAATTTTAAGTTTTAAAATATAATAAAATTATTATATATTTATTTATTAAATTTATATAATGAGCTATAAAATTAATATTATTAAAATATGTAATAATAGATTCTTCTATATGAATAAAATTTTAATAGGACAAACATATACACCATAATGATACCAAGTTTTCCTCGTTGAAAACCAAGATCTGTTTCTCTCTCCCCCTCTGGTTTTGCAGGTTTTCAGCTGCTAAAGTATAGATTTTTCTTTCAAGCAATACAAAGCCTGGGTGGAAAAAGCTTCCTTTTAAGAAAAGAAAAATGGGGCTAAGTTCCTACATATGGAGTTCAGTTCCTTTTGTGGCAATGATAACAGTGGAGTGTACAGATGTGGGTATATCAGTGATAAGTAAAGCAGCTTTGAGCAAGGGAATGAGCAATATTGTTTCTGTTGTTTATTACAACGCTTTGGGTACTTTGATCCTTCTTCCTTACTTCATCTTTTGCAGGTACCGATTCCCCCTTTCATCACTGGATTGTTACACTTTGAATTTTTCTTCTTTTTTATGGAGATTTCTTTACAATTTTGTTGTTGCAGAAATAAGCAAGCCTCTTTGACTTTGTCACTGCTTTGGAGATTCTTCCTCTTAGGCTTGATAGGGTAATGGGGAATTGAAATTTCGACATCTGTGTTTAATTTCTTTTCTTTTGGAGTGTTGTTTTCCAATTTTGAGATCTCTGCTGTAAGAAAAGAACAAAATTTGTGACAGTTGACATGTTTAATTTGCAGAAGCTCAGGGCAGATGGTGTATCTTACTGGAGTCAAATTCAGCTCACCTACTCTCTCTTCAGCTTTAGCAAATCTTATCCCTATTTTCACTTTCTTTCTTGCTGTCATATTCAGGTACCATGAACACCGATCTAAGTTAAACACTGTGGCATTTTTCAACAACAAAATCTGGATCGAAATTCCAATATCTAGCTATTTATGTTACTCGAACTCGGGTGTATCTTTATAAAATTTTAAAATTTATCTGATACAGGATACATTTATATGTCAAGAAAAATGAAGAGTGGAACAAAATAACCCACAAACAAGCATATGTTACTGTTAAGATTAAATCAGATTGATTAAATTTCTTTATAGGATGGAAGAGTTGGAAATAAGAAAAAGAAGCAGTCAAGCTAAAGTGTTGGGTGCCATTGTAGCAGTAACAGGAGCATTTGTAGCAACTCTCTATAAGGGTCCTCCAGTGCTCATCAACTCATCATCTCCTTCAAACTTTCTCCAGCAACCTTTGTTCTCACAGCAAACTAGGTGGATTATTGGAGGTTTTCTTATTTTATTGGTTTGCTTTTCATCTGCAACATGGAATGTTCTTCAGGTGATTCAAACATGAACCATCAGTTCCCATTTTTATGAATGCTTGATGAGTTGAAATGATGTAATTGCAAATGTTATACATGATATTTTGAGAAAAATGAGGAGTCCATGGGATAGCTTAGGAACTAATTAAAAAAGTAAAGTTGAAGAAACTGATGTGATTTTGATGATTTCAGACAGCCACAGTGAAGGAGTACCCAGATAAGATGACGATTGTCTTCTTCTTTACATTCTTTATAACAATCCAATCTTTGGTTTTCTCTGTGATTTTGGAAAGAAATCCATCTGCGTGGACTTTGAAGTCTACTGAAGAAGTGGCCGCCATTTTATGCACGGTAAATTCCCAACACCATCAACTTTGATATCACATGTCAATACCGTTCAAATAAATTTCTAGTCTCATAAGTTTTCAAATAGTTAAAAAGTACTCATTAAACTTTATCAAATCATTACAAAATAAACATTAAATTTATCGAACTGTTATAAAGAACCAAGTTGATGTTTACAAGGGATGAAATTTGCAGGCGATATTTGGAAGTTTGTTTAGAATAGCGATACATACATGGTGCTTACAAAAGAAGGGACCAGTATATGTTGCCATGTTCAAGCCCTTAGGAATCCCTGTTTCTTCGCTCCTCACTGTCACATTCCTCGCCGAGTCTATTTTCCTTGGCAGGTATGGTTTGCTTTCTCGTTTTTTCAATTAAATACTATCTTATTCGGGTGAGTCTCAAATATCTTGATAGAGTAGTTTCAAGCTAAAGTTTGTTTCAATTGCAGAGTGATTGGATCAGTAATCATTTTAGTGGGATTCTACACTGTGATATGGGGACAATCCAAAGAAAAGATGGTCTTAGAAAACGAAGCCTCTCGCCTGGAATCATCCCACCCCAAGGCCCCTCTTCTTCACGACGTTTAGTAATTTGTATATACCACCAGTTATATATCCTGGATTCTACTCTTCTTTATCTTGCTTTTTGCTGTATCTGTCGGGGAACATGAATATTACTATAAATCTTCTTGTTTCAATTTCTTTTTATGAGATGCCCACATGGAAGTCGACCCACCTTGTCCTCTTTATGAGCCAATAGAAAACCCTTCATTCACTGTCACTGCATCGCTTTCCATGGTGGGAAAATGGGACAACTGAGCCACGATCTTCACACGCAGCACTTCAGCCATCCCCATCCCCTGGAGCTAATCAATCCCCAAACCCTAAGCCACCCGGCCCCATGCTCAGCCTGCAACCTCCAAATCCAATCCTGCGGGTGGATGTACACCTGCAGGCCCTGCAACTTCACCCTCCACGCTTCCTGCACTCAGCTGCCTCGCCTCATCTCTCATCCGTCCCACCCCGGCTACTCCCTCAGCCTCCTCCCCACACCGGCTTACTCCATCGGGTATTTCAGCTGCGATGCTTGTGGTCAACGGGGATATGGATTCAGCTACCATTGTAATCAGTGTGAGTTCGATATCCATTCCCTGTGCGCTTCCAAGCCTTTATCTATCCGTTGTCAGTCTCATCCTTGCCAGCTACAGCTCTTCTTTTACCCTCCTTATCAAACCAAAGGCTTCTCTTGTGATGCTAGCCATCAGATTGGGTCCAATCATTGGCTATATCGGTGTAGTACTTGTGAGTTTGATGTTCATATGAGTTGTGTTAACACCGCTGCAACTACATATACAAGAACAACTACAAGTAGTGCTAGTGCATGTAGGAGCACGCCCAGACAAGCAGGGAATGTTCAGATTCAGGCATGGAAACCGTTTACAGGGTCAGTTCAAAGCAATAATCTGCAGTACTATAGAAATGGAGTGGCTGCACCCATGAACAATCAATGTTATAATAATGGACAAAACAATGGAGCGGCAGCGGGGAACGGTTTGATGGGCGTTGCGGTCCAGGGGTTTGTGGATGGAGCCGCTCAACAAGTTGGTCAGAATATTGTGCAGAGTTTGATGGGTGGTGGTGGTGATGATAATAATTCATCTTCATCAATATTGGGTCTTCTCTTTTGAGTGGGATGATCATGCATTCATGCTCTCAGTTACTTCCATCAACATCATCAATAATAATAATATTATCAAGTTGAATTGGGTTTTCTTTCTTTCTTTTTAATGTAATAATCCTTTGTTTTGGGACTACGTCTGTATATTCGAGTGTCGAAATCTTTGGTTTTATGTGAACTGAAACCACTAGTGTTCTTTATTCTGCAACTGTTTTTCAAACTTGTTCTTGCCACTTGCCATTGCCTAAACTCAAGTTTATTTATTTATTTTTTATAGCCAAGTGACAGTAAAATATAAACCATACGCTCCATAATTTATGTACACGTACAAATTTAAATTAAATTATTATATAACTAGGGACGAATATTTGATTAATCAAGTTAAATTGAATTAAAAGATTTTAAGTTAATGAAAATACGAGTTTTATTTTATAATTCAATTTTTATTAAAAAAAAACTTGAATTGAGTTGTTCGAATTTCTATTTAAGTTTAATTGTAAATATTATTAATATTATGATATTAACTTATTTCAATTTAAATAAAATAACAACTTACGATATACATATATATTTCTTCATTTTTTTTTTCATATGTGATATACATACATCATGAGAATTTGAGATACTCGACTCAAACTTAAAAGTTAATCCACTGATTACTAAAAAGTTTGACTTATTTGAATCATATTGTATAGTAAAATTTTATTTTAAAGCTTTCAAGTCGAGTCGAATTTTTTAACGTCGGGTTAAATAAAAAATCATTTTTTATTGGAATCAAAGTTTACGATTATCAATTAATACTAAATGGCGTTTAAATAAAAATATGAAATAAAACATAAGATAAAATATTATGAAGCAATATGGATAAAAAGATTTAAGTATTTTGACATCCACATAAATATAAACGTAGGGTAGTTGTGGACCAGATAATCCCTGCTCTAGTCTCATTCTATTGACATCACTACACCACAACCTCAATTGACATATTTTTAAATTTTATTTAAAATATATAGAATATGTATCTAAATGGATAAAATATATATGTTTCACTATCATATTTTTTTTATTAATTTCACAAAAATAAATGAAAAGGCATTAATACTGTCGCAACCGTCTTTCGGTTGGGCCCCGAACTTGGGCTTCGACTTAGGAAAATGTGGATTGGAGTCGCCACCGATCATTTATTTAAAAATAAATGGGTTGATCGGATACCCTATTTCTTACCTGATCTGCGTCTTACCAGAGATGTGTCGGATTCGGGAGTCGGTTACAGTCAAGGAAGGGCTAGCACCCTTGAACTGCCCTTTCGGTACTGTGTAATTTCCAGTTGTCTTTAATTAAGAAAATTGAAAGTTAAATTAAAAGGTAAAATATTGATCCAAATTGCTTACCACTGATTGTTTGAAGTTCTCTCAAAAAGCCAAGGAAAGGGTTAGGTAATGAAAGTAATAAAATAGAAAAATAAGGCGAACAAACGAAATAATACAAAAAAAACAATGTATACAAAAAGGAAAGAATGAAATATGACTAAATATAAAATAAAATATGCAAAGGAAAAAAACGAAAATACAAATAAAGAAAAAGAAGAAAATATAATAAAATATAAATGGATAAAAAAAATACACATAATAAAATAAAATATAAAACAATGAAAATGAAAAAAAGAAAAAATATGCGTAATATACATATAATAAAAATAACAATTATAATAGTAAAAATAGTAATGAAATAATAATGATGAAAATAATAAATAATATATATATATATATATATATATATATATATATATATATATATATATATATATATATGTAGAATATAAAAATACATAAAAGATATAAAAATAAAAAGTAAAAAAAATGAGTAATACATATATAATAATAAAAATATAATATAATAGCATAAATAAATAATAATAATAGTAAAAAGTAAAAGGGGAAATAAATAAAATAAAAATGGAATAAATAATTATTGAATGAAACGAGAAATATATATATTAAAGTATTAAAAAGGAAAAATATCAATAATAGGTAAAATGAATATATATATATATATATATGTATATACATACATAAATACGACAAAAATAAAATGTTAATAGAAATATAATTATAAGATAAAATGAGTAAGGTTGGTAAATAATAAAAAAATACATATATAACGTATAAAATTATAAGATGTAGTAGCTAGATAAAGAAATGACCAAAAAGTTAATTAAAATAATATATATGTATTAACACTAAGTATATAGATGAAATATATAGAAAATACGTGTATATATATAATTACATGATATGGAATAAATAAAAAAGGTTAGTATAAGTATTAAATTGAATCAAAAACAAGTTAAGTGGCTAAATTGAAAGAAAATCAGAATTAGAGACCAATTCAAAAGCAAATTCGGGGTCAAAATAATTCTTTAAAAGCAGCGAGGGACCAAAAGGGTAGTTTACCCTATTTTATTTGAAACACGCTGGTACATATGCTAAAAAAGAACTAAAAAACTTTCATTTGGTCCATTTCCAAAAGCCAGAGCCGTCCCTTTTCCATTTTCTCTGTGATGTTCTTGAGCTTCCAAGAACAGAGGCCGTGGGTTCCTAGAAACCGGTCATCAGCCGCCACAAGCCGCCTCGCCGGCGCCGTTGAACGGCGACGGCCGTCGTTCATCGGCGGCAAAATCACGAAATTTTTTATTTTCCAGTAGCTTTTCACCTCCTCGTTTCAAAAATCCAGACAATTTTTTTCAAAAAAAATCAAGCCTCGGGGGCTAGATCTACGGAAGTAGATCCTGAAAACACCCCTTATTCATCGGCTAAAACGCTTCTTTTGGGTTCTATTCGAACAAAATATGGAATAACTATGCATGCAAGACGAAAAAAAGAAAGGTATGATTTTTGTACCCTTTTATTTCTTCACAAAATGATTACAAAATGCTTGTGTTTACTTCGACTGGCTCCTGATTTCTCTCGATGTTCCCGCGTGAAAGCTGTGTAATTGTCTATCTGTCTCTTGTATGATTTGTGGGTAATCTCTCTCTGTAAAAACCTCTCTCTTATCGTGAGAATTACATGTTTATTTATAATCAAAAAACTACACTTAGAATCCTATTTTAACTAGAATCCTAATCCTTGTTGTCTTCTCTTGTGATTTGTTATTGCTTTATGCGTGACGTTGGTGAGGTTGAGGAATTCACGGCGCTGAGAAAACCGGATGAGGGAAACGTGGGTGGCGAGGACTCGTGAGGCAAGGATTGCGCCGCTAAAGAGGGAAGCTGCTAGGGTTTCTGGAAACCCTAGCTCCAGCTGGGTTGCGTGCGTGGGCTTGCTATTGTATTTGGGCACCAATTGGGCCTGAAAAAAATGTAAATAAATGTATTAGATATAATGGATATAATATAATTTATAATATAAATCTATATTATATAATATAATGAATGATGAAATTTAGTGTCTTCAGCTGCCCCTCTTTGCTCATTATCGTGTAACGAAAATAAAGCAAAGATTAAAAGACATAAATTTCGTCCCTATCGAATATCCTCTGTCGTAGAGTTGCAATTCGATGTTAAGACTGGTTTTTAAAACACGAGATGACTCCCTCGTCGTGAGGTTGAGTTAAAACTGGAAGATTCTAAGCCTGAATCCTTCGTCGTGAAATTGAAATCGAACTCGTGAAGTTGAAATCGAACTCAGAGTTCTGGAGGTAGCTCATGGATCGTCTTCTAGCCAAAGATACTTCGTTGTGAAGCTGAAATTGGGAAATTGTTTATTGACAACCAGCGGTCCCTTCGCTGTGAAGTTGAACTTGCGTTGTTTGGAGTCCAATATCCTTCGTTGTGAAGTTGAAATTGGCTCTGAAATTGAGAAGTTGACAGTCAGCGGTCCCTTCGTCGTGAAGTTGAACTTGTACTGTCTTGAGTCCAATATCCTTCGTTGTGAAGTTGAAATCGAACTTGTTTATTGACAACCAGCGGTCCCTTCGTCGTAAAGTTGAACTTGCGTTGTCTGGAGTCCAATATCCTTCGTTGTGAAGTTGAAATTGGCTCCGAATTTGAGAAATGTTTGTTGACAACCAGCGGTCCCTTCGTCGTGAAGTTGAACTTGCGTTGTCTGGAGTCCAATATCCTTCGTTGTGAAGTTGAAATTGACTCTGAATCTGAGAAATGTTTGTTGACAACCAGCGGTCCCTTCGTCGTGAAGTTGAACTTGCGTTGTTTGGAGTCCAATATCCTTCGTTGTGAAGTTGAAATTGACTCTGAATCTGAGAAATGTTTGTTGACAACCAGCGGTCCCTTCTTCGTGAAGTTGAACTTGCGTTGTCTGGAGTCCAATATCCTTCGTTGTGAAGTTGAAATTGGCTCTGAAATTGAGAAATGTTTGTTGACAACCAGCGGTCCCTTCGTCATGAAGTTGAACTTGCGTTGTCTGGAGTCCAATATCCTTCGTTGTGAAGTTGAAATTGGCTTTGGGTAAAACCTGCAAAGATGTGCATATATGCGATGGTATGGATGTCATGCTCTTAGGTATGCCTAGAAATGTATGGGCAACATATGTTATTCTGGGCTCTGGAGAGAAATCTTGATTTCCGGTGGCCTGTCGTTGTTGACTCTTGAAAGCTTGAAGTTCCGATCTCTGATCTTGAATTCTTCAAATGTCTGAATCTGATGTGCCCATTTTGGTTTTTTTTTTTTTGGAGATGCTCCTCAACCATCTCAAGCATGTGCATGAGCCTTGATCGGCTTCTGGGTACCTGTACTTTTCAATGAATCTTTGTACAGTAATATGCGATTATCTTTCATAAAAAATAAATAAACCATTAGGTTTAAATCTAATTCAAGATGCTCGAAAGGAATTGGAGGAAAGATGGTCTTTATTCATAAGGGAGGAGAAGAACAAATAATACATGGCAAACATTCTAGAAGACGAATACACAATGATGTGTAAATGAATGTTTTAGATCTCAATAACGTGCGCACTTCTGAGCTGAAAAGCCGTTTGGTGACTTTGAATGCAGCCTTTGCCAAAGGATCTTTGAAAATGCGACAACGTTTGGGAGAGTGCAACATTTCTTCGATTTGTTGAGCTCGTAGAAGATTCATGTGCCGGGATGTTTCCACCGTTAATATCCAAATCGCCCTTTCCGGGTTTTCAACTTGGACCCATCCTTGGTTGCAAGACGCCCTTTGCGGGTTTTCGTCTTGAACCCACCTTATTTTCTCTTCTTTTTTCCTCTTTTTCTTTTTTCAATTTAGGGCGCCCTTTCGGGTTTTCACCCTAAACGTTCTTCTCTTTTCTTTTTTTTTTCAACTTAGGACGCCCTCTCGGGTTTTCATCCTAAGCGAAGTATTTCTTGACTGCGTCCGAGTTAATGGGATGTGGCAGCTCAGGTCCGTCCATTTCAGCCAGGATAAGGGCTCCTCTGGAGAAAGCCTTCTTCACGACATAAGGTCCTTCCCAATTTGGCGTCCATTTTCCTCGGAAATCTTTCTGGACTGGCCAAATTCTTTTTAGCACTAGATCCCCTTCACGGATATTCTCGGGCGCACCTTTTGTCGTGTGCCGGATCATTCGTTCTGATAGATTTGACCATGATGAATGGCTTTCAGTTTTTTCATCTATCAGATTAAGCTGATCATATCTGGATTGTGCCCACTCTGCATCATCAGTTTGACTTCTGACAAGACCCTGAGAGACGGAATCTCGATTCAATGGGTAGCACTGCTTCCATTCCATAGGCTAGTGAAAATGGAGTTGCCCCAGTCGATGTTCGTACCGAGGTTCGATAAGCGAACAAAGCAAAAGGCAACTTCTCATGCCAGTTTTTGTAGTTTCAGTTGTTTCTCCACTATCTCTTAATATTTTTGTTTGCTGCTTCTACTGCTCCGTTCATCTTTGGTCTGTAAGCAGTGGAATTGTGATGTTTTATATTGAACTGTTCGCAAGCAGCACTCATCATCTTGTTGTTCAAGTTTGTTGCGTTATCGTGATAATCCTTTCGGGTAGACCATACCGATATAATTTCTTTCTTCAGAAACTTGCAATAGTGGATTGGGTGACACTGGCGTATGACGCAGCCTACCCATTTCGTGAAATAGTCAATTGCTACGAGAATGAAACGGTGACCATTCGAAGCCTTCGGATGGATTTGCCCGATAACGTCCATGCCCCACACAGAGAAAGGCCATGGTGACGTCATTACATGAAGCGGATGGGGTGGAACATTTATCTTGTCTCCATAAATCTGACACTTATGACATCTCCTAGCATAGTTGATGCAATCACTTTCCAGTGTGGACCAAAAATATCCGCATCTCATTATTTGTCTTGACATCATATGCCCATTTGCATGTGCTCCACAAACTCCATCATGTACTTCTTCCACTATCATTTTTGCCTCTTCAGCATCGACGCACCTTAACAGAACTTGATTATGGCTTTTGTATAAAACCTCCGTCAAGGACGTATCCAGCTGCCAACCTTCTAAGGGTTCTCTTATCGGTTTCGGTGGCTTTTTCTGGATAACTCCGATGCTTGATATACTGCATAATGTCGTAGTACCAAGGCTTAGTATCTTTCACTTCTTCAATTTGGTAACAATGAGCTGGGTACTCATACGATTGCATGTTGATTGGCATCATTTCAGACTCCCCGCCAGCCTTGAATGTGGCTGCCAAGGTAGCTAAAGCGTCAGCCATTTGATTTTCCTCTCTAGGCATGTAGTGGAAGGTGACTTCGTCGAACTCTTCGAGCAGATCCAACACTAGTTTTCGGTATTCTAACAGCTTTATATCCTTGGTTTCCCACTCTCCTCGGAGCTGATAGATTACTAAGGATGAGTCTCCATACACCCGCAAAGTCTTTATATTTTGCCCCAGTGCAGCCCGAATTCCCAAGACACAGGCTTCATATTCTGCCATGTTATTGGTACAATCAAAGTTCAGTCTGCTGGTAAATGGGTAGTGACTCCCTTCGGGAGACTAGGATTGCTCCGATGCCATGTCCTAGTGCATTTGATGCCCCATCGAAGTGCATCTCCAGGAACTGTCCGTTGAAATGCTTGCTTCCTAAAGATATGGCATTAAGTCTTCGTTGGGAAATCAAAGTCCAGCGGCTCATAGCTCTCATCGGTCTGCTTGCCAAAAATCGGATATGGCGCTGCCTTTTACCGCTTTTGGCTCACGTATTCGATGTCAAATTCAGACAAAAGCATCTGCCATCGGGCTAACCTTCCGGATAGAGCAGGTACAACATGTATTTTAGTGGGTCTAACTTGGAATCATCAGCCAAGTGGTGTGATACACATGTATTGTCGAAGTCTTTTGTAGCCCATACCAGGCATAACAACCTTCTCAATAGGAGGATATCGGACCTCGCAATCGGTGAACTTCTTGCTTAAGTAGTAGATGGCTCTTTCCTTCTTCCCAGACTCATCGTGTTGACCCAGGACACACCCCATGGAGCTCTCGAATATGGAGAGATACAAAAACAAAGGTTTTCCTGGGATAGGGGACATCAGGACAGGAGCGTGGGACAGGTACTCTTTTACCTTCTCAAATGCAATTTGACAGTTTTCATCCCATGTTCCAGGGCTGTTTTTTCGGAGAAGGTGAAAGATCGGATCACACTTGTCAGTTAGCTGAGATATAAATCGGGCTATGTAATTCAATCTTCCTAAAAAACCTCGGACCTCCTTTTGTGTTCGGGGAGGAGGTAGACTCTGGATGGCCTTAACCTTATCAGGATCACCTCAATGCCTTTTCTGCTGACTATAAAGCCTAATAGTTTCCCGGATGTCACCCCGAAAGTACACTTGCTAGGGTTCATCGTAACCGAATTTCCTCAATCTTTGGAAGAGCTTTCTCAGATTCTCGACATGTTCATTCTCTCGGTCTGTGCCTTGACAATCATGTCGTCGACATAAACCTCGATCTCTTGGTGCATCATGTCATGGAACAAGGTCACCATAGCTCTTTGATATGTTGCCCAGCATTCTTTAATCCGAAAGGCATCACTTTGTAACAGAAAGTTCCCCACATTGTGACGAAAGTGGTCTTCTCCATGTCTTCGGGATGCATCTTGATCTGATTGTACCCCGAAAATCCATCCATGAATGAAAAGTAGGCGTTCCCGGCCGTATTGTCCACCAGAGTGTCTATGTGTGGCAGAGGAATTGTCCTTGGGACTGGCCTTATTAAGGTCCCGGTAATCGACACACATGCGTACTTTCCCGTCCTTTTTCGGCACAGGCACTATGTTGGCCACCCACTCAGGGTATTTGGCCACTTGGAGAAAACCGGCATCAAATTGCTTCTTGACTTCTTCCTGATCTTAAGGAGCATTTCTGGTCGCATTCTTCTCAGTTTTTTGCTGCACTGGTTTGAATTCTGGTTTGATTGGCAGTTTGTGAACTACCATATCTGTGTCTAGTCCCGACATGTCTTGATATGACCAGCAAACACATCTTCGTACTCCTGAGTAAGGCTATCAGGTTTTTCTTGCTCAGTCGAAAGAGTTGTACCGATTTTAACCTCCTTTCGATCTTCCTCAGTGCCCAAATTTAAGATTTCGATCGCCTCCTCATGTGGCATTATTTGCTTTTCTTCTTTTCTATCATTCTCAACAATTCGGTAGGCAAGTTGTACTCTCTTCATTATCGCATTCTTCAAATTCCCCAAGACAATGGTTGATTCAAAATCCACCTCCGGATCAGGGTCTTAGTGCCCACATTATCGTTATCTGGGAACCTGAAAGGAGGAAGATGTGTATGTGTGAGAGATAATATCCCACACGGAATGGTCAAGAACTAACTTTGAGAGTAACTGGAAATGAAGTACTGGAATGAAGGAGATAGATAATGAATATAGAAAAATTTGTTTGCCATGGAAAAGAAAAAATGCATCCTTTATTAAACTTAAACAAAACATTTTATTCACCCTTACAAAGATCACCTATTGCCCCGGGTATAAGCAAATAGGGATGTTCGAATATTACTCTGAAAGATTCTTGTAAACCACAGGTAGTTCTTCCACCGACCAACTGCTAGCACGAACCCATGTGGCAGAAGGCATATCCCGATCTATCTCCGTTGTCAACATCTTCTGTGGTCACGGCATTAACGTTCAAATCTTCCAAGCCGTTCCTAACTCGGATATGGTGGTCTCAAACACATAACCACCTGACTTGAATGTTCTGAAAAGCGGCGGAATGTTCGGCCTAGGGTTTGCTTGACCTCCATCCTTGTACATTTGGAGAGTCGAGGTCTTGGGATTCTCTTTCCTTCCGCCACAAATGTGGCATTCACAAACTCCAAAGAGCGGAACGACATTCTACCGCTTCCTCGTCTACTTCGACCTCCATCCTTGTACATTTGGAGAGTCGAGTCTTGGGATCTCTTTCCTTCCGCCACAAATGTGGCATTCACAAACTCCAAAGAGCGGAACGAACATTCTACCGCTTCCTCGTCTACTTCGATGTATGGAGCCTCGTGGTCACGCTTGCCACGATATCTTCCTCAGCGTTGATAGTTACTAAGGCTCCGTCAATAACAAATTTAACCTTTTGGTGCAACGTGGAGGGTACTGCACCTGTTGATGAATCCATGGCTTCCCAAAAGACAGCTATAAGACGGCATGATATCCATCACAAGGAACTCAACATCATAGGTGGCTGGTCCGATGGTCAATGGTACCTCGATCTTTCCGATACTCTCTTTTGGTCCCATCAAAGCTCGGACCACATTCTGACAAGTTTATATGGAGGTATCGATTGGTAGCCTCTTCAATGTAATGAGGCATCACGTTCAGGGCTGAACCATTATCGATTAAGACACTTGGTAAAAGCGTGCCTCTTACAGTAGGTAGTAATGTGTAACGCCTTGTTCGGCTATTCCTCGGATGGAATCTCATCATCTGAAAACGAGATGAGATTATCAGCTTGAATATTGTTCACCAGTCGATCCATCTTGCTGATGGTATGTCTTGTGGCACGAACGTTTGATTAAGGACATTCAACAACGCTTCAAACGCTTCTCGGTGTGTTCCGAGCTTAAAAATAGTGCTAGCATTGAAGTACGTGTAGGTAAGTTGTGGAGCTGTTCTACAATGTTGTACTCGCTGTGCTTCAAGATCTTGAGGAACTCTTTAGATTCTTCTCCTTTATAGGTTCATTGACGACTAGCACATCTTCTTTGAATGGCTCCAGTGGTCTTGCCCCACTTTACTATTACCTCCTCCGGAAGTACTCACCTGACATTCGTACTTCCATGGCACTTGCCGATTGTCCTTATATTGAAAAGGCCGCGGTGCGGGATTACCACCTTGGCTGGTGTTGTCACTGTCATGCTTGCCTTAGGGGTAATTATCAAAGGACTACCCCTAACAAATTTTATCTGATGATTCTCCGGTGGCACAAACGTGCTTCCAAAGAATCTGAATTTCTTCGTAAAACTCCAGCTCCTTTCGATCCATCATGAGCTGTACTAACAATCTGAACTCTGGGCAATCTTGCACTTTATGCCCTTCTTTGTTGTGGTAACAACAATGGATACCATCTTCATTTTCTGTATCTGGATATGGTGCAAGAAATCCTGCCTTTACCATGTGGCTCCATACCCAAGCCAAAGGAGATTTAATTTCCGAAACACTTGATTTAATTCCTTCCCCTTCAGTAGTAATGGCATTGATTCCTGTCTCCTGATGATTGGGCAAGGGATTCTGGGCGACGTTTGGTGCTCCGGAGTTAAAAGTGATCCAATTCTTGTTACGCATTCGTTGCACAAGTCCTTGAATGCGAGACAACTTTCAATCGAATGCCCCTGCACACGCCATGGTATTCGCAGTGGGCGCTCTGTCATACCATTTCGGGTAAGGGGGATTTATTGGGTTCATAGGATAAGGGACACTGCATGAGTGTCGAAGAGCTGTTGGTATAGTTCTTATACGTCATGGGAATGGGATCAAACTGCTCCATTTCCCTTTCTTCTTGGTTCCTCTGGTTCTGTCTAGAAGTACCGGATGGTACAGCTGCTGTGGAATTGAACTTGAGATCGTAACCCCCTTGTGACGTTGTAGGTGTTCACATTGTTGATCTCTCGCTCTTGTTTTCATGGGAGGTTTTTACTGGAGTCTCCTCCTCAATCTTTCCTTGTTTAATGGCCAACTCGATCATTTCACCTGCCATGACTAAATCTGAGAAACTTCCCGACGTGATTGCTACCAAGTGCCCGAAGTAAGGTGCCTCAAGGTCTGTACAAACGCTTTCTTGTTTCCTTTTCATCCAAGGGTGGATGAACTTGCACAGATAAATCCCTCCATCTCTGTGCGTACTGTCGGAAACTCTCCATTATGTTTCTTCTCTAGGCTTTGTAACATGACCCGGTCTGGTCTCATATCGTTGATATGCTTATACTGCTCCA